GATTGAGATCCGGTTTCCGATTTTGGAGAGAGTGAATTCGAAGGAGAGACTGCTTTGGGGGTGAGAGTAAGTGAGGAGAGTCGAGTGAGCATGGTCGGGTAGGATGAGTTTTTCGGGTAGGAGGGCTGAGCCTGTTTTGAGTGCGAAGGAGTGAGAGATGAGGAGGGTGTGGGTGACGAGTGCGATGAGACTGAGTGGGTTGGCTACTACTGTGAGTTCGTTGTGGTGTAGAGCGATTAGTTCGGCGAGTGTTCGGTAGAACGAGCTGAGGTCTTCTGGCTGATTGGGTGTGGTCGTTGTCTGTTCGTTGTGGTTCTTGTCGGTTTGTGTCATTTTTTTTTGGGGGGGGTCTTGCTGTGAAACCCGACACGCCGCTCATTTGAGGGGGGAGCTGGCATGTCACAAGCTTATCACCAAATCCTTACATTATTTGTGTTGCTCCCATTCAAACTCCTCACACTGCTTACCAACAAGCTCTCCGGCAACATCTATACTCCTGCACCGTGTTTGTTGGAATTTCCTACAACCCACCTCCCTCTCTCCGCAACTTGGTTTATACCATTTATTAAAATTTCTTTTGTTTATCTACCCTCCACCTTGTCTGCAGTTTTATGGTGTATCCCCTTTGTTCCCAACACATCCAGCCACATTCACCTTTCCTGGGTCAAGGCTGAGAGAAGCCAACAAATTTCTCGAGGCCATGTAGTCCACAGTTTAGTGGGTTGTGCATTGCTCAAAGCATAATACACCCCCTCCCCAACAGCAAAGCCATGGGAAGACCGGTCAAGGTGTTATTCAAGCTAGACTATCAGTGTCCCTGCGCCGGAGCCCTAGTACCCTTTCCCAACTCCTGCAAAAAAGATTTTGTATCTTGGCAATGCGGCTGCGAGGCCCGATTCAGCATATTGCTCCACATACCTACCAACTTGCTACATGTGGCCTGGTTTTGGTGCCACAACCATGATTCTCATTTGCTCAAGGCCACAAATGGGATGGGCTGGAGGCAGCTGCAAAAGCTTCTTTATAGTGATGATTTGCTACAAGTGCATGATTTTATCTTATTTGGATTGTGACATTTACTTCACGTCACTGATAAGCTTCAAAATTTGCAGGGACAAACTGCCGTCAGCATGCCCAAAAGTCTATACATCCAGTAGGCAAGGTGATAGCTGCAGGTCCCAGAAATGCCGCTGAGAGCATGGTACACGCGGGAAGTTGAGGCAGGCCAAAGTAAACAAAGGAAAGTATTTTCAGGACTTTTGTAGGCTGAAAAAATCATACTTTGCTTTTGTCAGCAGCAGAAGAATCAAGCTTTAGTAAGCAGCGGGGAAAAGGTGCAGGCATAGAGGGGGGATTGGCTTTGGGGGCTCAAGAAAGCATCAGAGGAGGATCAGGCAGACAAGGGTGACTTTGGAGGGCACTGTGGGGGGAAACCGGTGGCTGGGGCTGTCTGGTCTGGATTTTGCGCAGCGGGCTGAGGAGTGAGGCGGACAAATCAGGGTGGTGCTGCAGGGAGTGGAAATCAGCGGGGATTTGGGGCGGGAACTCAATGGGAGTGGGAAGCTGGGAGTGAATGCGGGGGAGAAGGAAGTTGTGGGTGTGTGGGCATGGAGTCTTGATATTGGATCACATCAAAAATCCATATTAAAAGAGGGGGAGTCAAGTCAACACTTCAATAACACCAGGCAGAATATTCAGAATCTCTTCCTGGGGTTGCAGTAGCAAAGAGCGGTGAAGGGAGTGTTGATTGGAAGATTGAAGGCAAGCCTTACTAGTGATTCCAGTCCTCCGCAGTGAAATCAAAGATTACCTGAAATCTACAGAGAAGAACTCTCAGTTTTACAACAGATGGTATTTTTTTCCACAACAATCAAGTATGCACTACTTGATTTGTAAGCAGTTTTGCGTACTGGCCAAGAAGGACCAAAATGTCTTTGAATCCCTAGCCATGTGGAACAGCAAGCTCAAATGGTAAAACTGGAATAAATACCTCCCATCCACTGCCAATCCCCCTTTCTTTAATTATTTTACGGCACAGGGGTATCAGAACCATCACAGGTGGGCCCTGCTTCACCGGGTGGTAAGTCAACGCATAATTTTTTGCCATGCCAGGCAAATTTTTAAACTGATCTATGGTTATGAAGTTGGATCATCAAGGGATCCATACTAATAATTATACAGAGTCGTGGCACTGGGTGCTCAAAACCCACTACCTCCCTCCTCCCAAGTTTTGCCACATGGAAGGTGGTGCAAATATTCAGGGACAAAATCCTCCCCAGTTATCAACGTGATTTGGCACAGGTGGAACTCGGATTACAAAAGCAAATCACAAAAAAATACTAGCTCCATGCTAAGTTGTTAGCCAGAAGCTACAACCCTGAGGCGTTGAGGTCTTTATGAGACACCAATTCATTTGAGTTGTGATTCTTGTTGTGTTAATTAATATTAAGCAGCTCAATTTATCAATCAGTTCACCATCAGTTCATTTACAAACCCTCACAAGGCAACATGGACGGTATCTCAACAGGCAGGCCAATAGGGCAGCAAGGACCGCCTCACATCCTGCAACTGCCCTCATTTTCAAACCACAAGCAGCACGTGTAAGCATATGTATTACATTGATCAACAACACAAGCTGCTGGTGGTAGAGGCACCCAAAAATCTGGAGCCAGAACTGGACATTATTGAAATTCTTGACATGTTAGATCAATTGACCTGTTGTGAAACTTCATTCCATTACATTTCACAACAAATCACTCTTAGCTTACATCATCATTCTCATCCATACTTATAGATCCTTTCCCCACGCCCTCCTAGCTCAGTAGAGACCCTGATTCCCCTTTCTA